GACTGGTAGTAAAATTTTCCCACAATGATATGAGTTGAGCTGACGTTTCCATTGAATTTCACATAGCCTTCCGAAGAAAAGGTGCTAAGCTTTCGTCCGTCATATGACGAACATGTTCAGAGCAATGTAGCATCGTCACAACCAAATTCAAACTGACGAATCAAGAAAACTCGTCAAGAGTCAAGAGTCTTGACTCATTAGCTTGAATTTTGTTGTGACGATGATACCCTCCGTGCTCTGATGCTGTTCATCATATGACGGACGAAAGCTTAGCACCTTTTCAACGGAATCGAAGGAGATTGCCTCGGCAACAGCGTCAGCATAAACCGCACGAAACTAAGCAAGTTTGCACCGGAATCGAAGAAGATTACCTCGGAAACAGCGTCAGCATGAATCTGCCCGATGTCCGTCATATGACGGACGAAAGCTTAGCACCTTTTCACCGGAATCGAGGGAGATTGCCTCGAAAACCGCGTCAGCATGAATCTTCCAGTAAAGCCCAATCGACAGCTGGTCAAGAGGAATCGGCCGTCGTCTTCTGGTGGAACCGACCTTCGAATCTCTTCACCGAACACTTTCACTCGAAACGGAAGTAAACACAACGATTGTGAAAGAAGCGATTCCTCGAAACCCAACTTTTCTTCGCAGATATGAAACTAGCTGGAATGCGAAAACAAAATGGGTTTCGATGAATCTCCTGAGATAACGTTGTTGGGGGACTTCGATTTGGTATGAAAGTGCATGAAAAGGAGATTTGTACGTCGATCTCACCAGAAGAGAACGGTCCTTGTGTTAACTTGAGACTTTTACTAGAATGCGTTCCAGCGTCATTTGAAGGACACAAGCTCAGCCCGTTTTCACCCGAAACGGAGGAGGATGTCTCGTGAACTGCATCAACCTTAAGCCAAACGGCTGCAGTACAACGCGGTTCAACCGTCGTCTTCTGGTGAGATCGACCTACGAATCTCTTCTTCATGCACCTTTATACCAAATGAGAGTGCCCCCAACGTATGACATATATTCACCCTATTTCGTCTAAGCTGACTACCAGTCTCTTTAGCACCTTAGACGGAATAGGGCTGTCTCGAAAACCTGCTTATTAACAAAAGAACAAGTGACGAAATCAGTTGCTAGAGCAGATACAACTTTGCTTCATCGACAATCCCACCACAGAATGTGATGTGGCAAATGCCTAGGCTTCCTTGAAGTTCACATTTGCATTGCGATCCAAGGACACTAGTGGAAGTCAGGCATGGAGATCAACCTGTCGAGATTATACGCTACACAACCACAATCCGGGTTCGAGTCCCGCTATGGGTGCTGATAAGACTCTGGCGAGGCCAATACTACCGTTCATCCCAGATGAGTATACTTTTTGGGGGATCAAGGCAGGGAGAAATTTAAAGAAAACGTAACATGTGATCATATAAATGTGGGAAACTTCAACTACCAAGCCCTTTATCACT